GTCATTTGGAATAATACGTGCAGTTCTGGCTACTGTATTCAAGAAACATTGAAGCTGGTTGCAATTCAATCAAGAGAATACTATGGGAATAAAGAGCCTTTTATGAAAGGACAGTAGAGAAATATTTCTATATGAGAATAAGAACTAGGGGGTTTAGACTGGCTAGAATAAATGTAGGAAATTCGAAAAAAGCTCTCGCACGTTGTAGCATGCTCCTGAAACAACCTCCTTTGTGTTTATGGTAAGGCTTCATCCAGTCCTACAGTGGTCACAGGAGTTGCCTGTCTATAGGACTGGACTTCAGGAACGAACATGATGACTCAGAGGTTCCTTCTAGTCCTGTGTGAAAAGTGCTGAAATGGAGGCTAAAAAAACTAAGCCCAAACCAAGAAGTATCTGTCAGTGTGGTAATAGTTTATGGCTGGCATGGACATGAAAATATGTGCATCTATTCTGTGAGTTTTAATCAGAAATTTTTGCATTCTGTTTGGATGTGTGTTTCACGGTACTAGCTCAGGGGTTGAGCCAGTTCCAATGGACTTCTGAGAATCCAGGCTTACTAATTGACAAGAAGTGTATACACCAGGTTTTTAAAATTATCTTATGTAGTATTCATATTCTTTTGGATGAAGTGATGTATTATGTATATATTTTCAATCTTTGATAGGTGTGAAAAAATTGTCTTAAAATTGTATGTCTAACTGCATTTTTCAAGTTGCGTTAATCCCTTAATCACAGTGAAGAGGTGAAATTTCATTTCAATGGCATTTTAAATAGTTTGGGGATTTAAAGCTACCTCTAAATGAAGAGATTTGATTCCTTATGTGAGATTCCACCCTCGGTTATTAACAGTATTGGGTTATGTAATTGAAAATGAGAAGTCATTACTGTGGAGGTTCCTTATGGGTATGTGTAAGAACAGGTATATTTTCAATCAAGTTCTTAACAGAAAGTTAACAATTTTTCCATGCAAAATTTTATTTTGTGGTATTTTTGCTTCTGATTCTCCTCTCTTTCTTTTGTTGACTCTGATCTACAAGTTGCTACAGTACGCTTAGTTTCAGTTTTCAGGTTTTTTTTACCTTATCTACTCATATTCCCCCAACATACAGATAGCTAGGGTAATCATTGCATAAACTACTGTGGAGATGACTATTCTTGAAACATTTGAAAGGAGAAATTGGTTTTTAATCAAGCTGTGCCAATAAAAGAGAAATCATTCTACAGGAACTGAAATATTGTAAATAACAAGCAAACATTTGCAAAAAACAAAAGAAAAATCAACTATTTCACAACGGGAAAAACTGATAAGCTGAATGAGTTTTCTGTGAAGCTGCTGTGTGTGAAATAAAACCAGTTCATAGATTATTTGTAATTTTACAATCATTTATTGTGTGTGTGTGGGGGGGGGTTCTTTGTGCTTTTTATTCTTTATAGTTGCCCTGTGGTCACCGGTGTAAAGAGATCTGCCATTTGGGTAGCTGTCCTCTGAACTGCAGCCAGAAGGTTAAACTCCGATGTCTCTGTAAGAGGCTGAAAAAGGTAAATTTCTAAGTTACAGTTTTGAGAATTAGGTATTTTCTTTGCATGTTCCTAGGCTAATATGGATGGATTGTCTCTGGTGCAGATTAGAGTAGGTCCAGTTACTCTGGTAGAGCTACAGCAATTCACATCAGCTGAAGATCTGGACTGCAATATTAAAAGATTCACTGGAGAATATAAAATCCTTTTAATTCTGAAATGTTAGTTTCCTGACGTATAATAGCTTTACCTTCAAGCATACTTGAATTTTTGTGGCTGCACTGGGAGAACAGTCAGATGACCTGGAGGGATTTAAGAAAGAATAGATTTTTCTGACGATATTGCAAAAGTTTATAATTACGTAAGGTGGAACGAGCACTAATGCAATCAGTTACGGTTCTCTGCAAACCTAAAAGCAAGTACAGGCACTGGCATCCTTAGCTTCTAACAGAGATAAGGAACAAAGTAACATAACAACTTTGTTATAGCTATATAATATTATGAGGGGAAGAACACAATTTGATGTGAAGTCTTGGAAAATTGTGATGACTTAAGGAAAAAATCATTATCTGGCTTAATTAAAAGATGCTTAAATTATTTTTCTGGTGTGACCTAGTCTAGGTGATCCTGCTCTGGCAGGGGGGTTGGACTGGATGATCTTTTGAGTTCCCTTACAACTCCTAATATTCTATGTTTCCATGTGACCCAGTTAACTTCTGAGGCTTCCAGACAGGCTGCAGCTCCCCATAGTTCTTGGCTTCTGCAAGAAATGTCTTGTGCAACCAGAAGTCTTGCAAGTGAGGTGTTCAGC